ATCAGTTTCCATCTACTACCAAGTTGAGTGTTATCTACAACGTATTTATTGTACTATATTTATTATATTCATTAAAAATCTTTGAACTAACTACCTCTGTAATTTATGCATTTCTTTGTTAAATTTCATCACAAAATACCTTGAACTACACACTTTTTTTTAATAGTTTTATGCTTAATATAGTGCCGCAAACATAAAATAAATTTATATGAAATAGAATAAAATAAAATTTATCAATTTAAAATCAAATATAGTAAATTACAACAAAATCAAATTAAAAAAAAAAAAAACTATAAAATAAAATAAAAGAAATAAAATAAAATAATATAAATAAAACAAAAAAGTGAATAAAACAAAATAAAAAAAAAAATAAAATAAAATAAATTGAATAAAAAAGGGAGTAAAATGAAAGAAAATATTACGTTAAATTAAATTAAGTCAAATAAAATAAAACAGTATAAGGTAAAATTAAATAAAATTAAATTAAAAAATTTAAATCAAATAAAATTATTAAATTGAGTAAAATAAAACTAAATATAATAATATAAAGTGAAATAAATTAAAATAAAATAAAGTTATTTAAAATAAAAAAATGGAATAAAATTATTTAAAATAAGAAAATAAAACAAACAAAACAAATTAAATCAAAATTAAATAATGCATAATAAAATTTAATTATAACAAATAAGATTAAATAATATGAATTACAATAAATATAATTAAGTAAAATAAAAAAATAATTCAACAAATTTCATAAAATAAAATAAAGCAATATAAATTAAATTCAATTTTAAAAATAATTAAAATTAAATGAAGTAAAATAATAAAATAAAATAAAAAAGGAAAACAATGAAAAAATTTATTAAAACAAAATAAAACAAATTAAATTAAAACAAATAAAATAGTTATATAAAATAAAATTAAAAAAGTATTGAGTAACATTAAATAAATTATAGTAAATGAAATAATACATTACAAAATTAAATTATATCAAGTAAAATAATATAATATGAATTAAAATAAATATAATTATGTTAAATTAATAATAATAATAATGCTAAGACAAACTTCATAAAATAAAATTAAGTAAAATGAATTCAATCAGTAAAAATAAAAAAATTGAAGAAAATAAAATAAAATGAAGTAAAAAAAATATTAAATGTTAAATTATCGAATGGAAACTTAATAAAATAAATAAATTAAAATAATATAAAACAAATTAAAATCCAATAAAATAGCATAAAATAAAAGATAAGTTGAATTTAAATTAAATAAAATATAATGAAGTGAAATAAATAAAGTAAAACACTTTTAGCTGGTCACAATAGTCACGGCATCAAATATATTTTAATTTATTCAAATAAGCAATGTGTTTAGTCAAAATGGCAAAAAAAAACATTTCCTTCCGCACTCTAAACACTTTATTTAGGCTTTTACCTACGCACGCATGCGCAGAAATATGTGTATATATATAGATAGATATATACATATGTAAGCCATACAAAATCTATATTAATTATACATATGCTTGGTTTTTTTCGTTTTGATTTTGTATATACTAAATATTCAGTAAACATTGCCAAAGTCTAGCAAGCCAGCAACCATTTCTGAATGAATCGAGTGACTTATTCGTCAGTATTTGTAGTAATCAATGAACTTTGCTAAATTTGTTCAAGGCAATTTTTATTATGAATAATTTTTGATAGTAGGATGCGTAGCGGACCTAGGATGGGTAATAGATTAGCGATGCTTTGGGTCAAGCAACTTATTTTATAAAGCCCAATCTTTCTATGTATTCTTTGAAGAGCAATCAAATACACATGCAGTTATACGTATTTTTGTATGTATATATGTATTTAAAAATATAGGTATAAAACCGTATTTTTATTCATAAATAGTTTGCCGACCATACGCTTCAAGAGGGATGCTGTGTTTAGAGCAGGTATAATATATATATTTGTATCATTGCAATAAAGCTCGTGGAGCTTTGCAAAAGCCTCTCCGGTCGGGTTATCTCAAACAATGAATAACATATTTCTTGACAAATTCAGGATGCAAGATCCAGTCTCAGCCTAGCTAATGCGCAGCAGCTTGACAGAAAGTTCATAGACGATTTCGGCAGTTTTAATTTGATATACTCCCAGGCCCAAAAACAACTTCCACTGGTTATGAGAGTGTGAGATTGAAAAAGGGAAGGAGCTACCTTATCGTTCATCTTTAGTGAGAAGAATCTCACAACCCCATTTGAAGGAAAGCTTAATACAATCAACACCTTGTAAGGGGAGTAGCATAAAATGTGCCGCTTCAAGAAGGAGCATGTCTGGAGTTTTAGCCCCAATAGGCTGGGGTTGAAAACCTACTACTATAACCATAGCTGAGTTTTGCCAAAATTACGAGAATCAGAATAATTCTCCACTTCTCAACCAGTAGAAATAGAATCAAATATTGTACTCTCTTGTGGAGTTAGGGTCTGTGGGTAATTCTACGACTTCGACTGTCAACAATGACGTGGAAGACAAGACGCCAGTGCGCAGATTGCTTGTTTGATGACATGAGATATCTCGTCTTCCCCTCTTTCTTTTTTTCTCCTATGAAACTCATTCAGTTGACTTCTTTGTCTAATCTAAATCCATAAATCTTTCCATTTCTTTGTGGCCACATTTAAATTGCTTTTTTATTCTTTGAACTTAATCAGTGTTAGGTATTGGAACCTCTTTTCTATACACCACCCCTGGGACTGGCTCTTTCACTACCAATCAGCTGGCTGCAGAAGTGTTCCCTCAATAAACCCTAGACTTTTGACACCAACTTACCTACTTGGTTCCAAAATGATCTAAAAATTTCGATCATTGCCACTGTTTGCCAGCTTCTCAAGCTTCTTTCCTCTTAAGCTTTCGTTTTTGCATTTGTTTGTATTCAGACTCGAAAATCCAAAGTGCTAACTTGGACTGGTTACTCATCCATCAACGCACTAACTAGTTAATTGTTTATAAACACTTAGAAGACACCTTGATTTCAATCCACATTGATCGCCCTCATTTTGAAGGCTGCTATTATAGTCGTCATAACATCATAAATCATTTAGCATAAGCAATTGACATTGAAGTAATAAATCAAATATTTATTTCTATTAGCAATCCAATGACAGAATTTATCTACAAAAACAAAAAAAAAAGCCTAAATAAATTCGCATATAACAAATAACTGCATTCCACGCAAAACCAGCCCATCTTTACCTTAATCAGTCGCATGAGCCATGAAGGATAAACATGCAGTACCCGTAAATAAATAAATGTATGCCCAAATGAATTTGCGGAATTTATATCAACTTTGCAAGCCCCAAAATAACGAAAGGTTGTTCGAAAGCGCTTAAATAATTAGATTAGATCTTTTTTTGATCTAAAAAAAAATCAATTATTTTAAAAACGGCAGGGCATCTTCAAAATCAGAGAGTTCAGGGAATTTGTTAGTCCTCAACTTGTTGAAAAATATCCTTTGTTATTGAAATAAAGTAGAGAAGAAGCTTCTGAAAAGTTCAAAAAAATGCCCAAACGGAGGCGTTTGTAAGCAAAAGACCAAACATTTAGCTACCAATAATCATTTATATCACATTTAATATATATACGCAATTATGCTTTAATAAGTTGCAAATTGTAGCATCACCAATTTCAGTGGTACATACAGACATAAGTATAAAGTTTTTGATTAACTCTATCCTAGCGTAAACATCATTATTAAGGCATTAGTAAGCTAAGGCAAATCTGCGAAACTAAATAAAAAAAAGTTAAGAAAATATAATCTCAGAAAAAGAATATCTAATGAAGCAGGTCAAAGTCAACTAACTGTTCACAATACGTTCAGTGGCTTATGCTATACGAAGAAGACATAAATACGCCGAGTAAACTAGCAAAACATTCATAACGGCTTGTGTGTTTTGTTTCTTTTTTCAACTAATTAATTGTACATTGGCGCTGGCAAAGTCATCACCACCAACTCAATGGAACATATTGTTTTTAGAACACATTTTATGTGTATAAAAACTAATTATTGTTAATTAGCTTTTTTGCTCTTCCTGCTGAAAAGAAAAGATATTGGAAAAAATACAGAAATTTTTTTTTTTACTTCTATGCATCGAAATAAATTTATTATATTTTCGTTTATTTTTAAACATCTTCAACTAGAATTTGTTAGTAGTTGTACAAATTTGATAACTTTTTAGTTAATTGTAATATCTTTGCCTCATTTTTTAGAACTTTCTTGGAATATTTATGCGTGTGTGAAGTGATGCAATGTTTTCAAGATTGAAGAAAATAAATAACGACACAACTATAATTGCATATAAGGAAACAATCAAATATTTAATTATATCAAATTTTTTTGTAAAAAATTATTTGGTCTTTACCAAAAAAAAATTTTAAAAAAAAATTTAAAAATATAAAAAAAAAATATTTTTAAAAAAATTAAAAAAATATTAAAAAAAAAATTAAAAAAATATTAAAAAAAAAATTAAAAAAAAATTTTAAAAATAATATTAAAAAAATAAATAAATAAAAAACAAATAAAAAAAAATTAAAAAAAATTAAAAAAAAATTTTAAAAATAATATTAAAAAAATAAATAAAAAAAAAAACAAATAAAAAAAAATTAAAAAAATAAAAAAAAAACATTAAAAAAAATTTTGTTTATAAAAAAGAATTTCAAATAAAAAATTATTTAAATAAAATAAATATTGATATTGAGATAGCCGATTCGTAACTTTCCATGTAAATTATAATAATATTCTTTACACTTAAACTTGCCATTAATGCTCATTTATAATTGCTAAGTTAAATTACAACATTGAATTATGTCAAACACAAATTAAGTAACTGGAGAGCAAATTTTTACAACCAAAAAGAAAATTATCGGTATCTCGCCAAATTCAAGTTAGTTGATAAAATATATTACTAAACTCATTTGCAGGCGATATTTGCAATAAATCATCAATCGTTTCATATTATATTTAATTTGATGTATTTATTGCTGCTCAAGTTGTTGCTGTTGTTGTTGTAGAGAGTCAAGTATTTCGATTCGCTTATCTGAATGTGTACATTTATAATACATTCGATTTGTTCTAATGTCTATTTGATTGTGAATATATGTATGTATACATGAATATGTGTTTATATTGTATATGATAAGTATGTATGTGAACTACGTATGTATGAAAGTGTTAGAAAATAACACTGCTTCAATTTCATATTTAATAACTCTAAAGCCGATAACAATAAGCTGTTTTGCATTGTTTACTTTTTCTGATTTTTTCATTAATAAATGGACTCATCACTAATTTTATTTTATTTTATTTTTTTTTTGTCCCAATAGATATGAAAACGTGCAATAATTATGTTTATATTTATTTTTCTATTTTTATCCCGCCATATTTAAATTTTTTTTTTAAATTATAATTAATGTAAATTCTGAATGGTACTAATGATTATATAATTTTACAACTTTCGACTTCTTCGCATTTTTACTCATAAACTCTCATTCATTCTCTTTGCAATTAGTTAACTCCAGCTAAGAATCACAAGAAATTTTATAATTTTCAAAACAACTGCTTAGCATAATAAACCAAATGTTTGTACTGCCTGTTCGTTTAAAAAGTAATTGGTTCGTGAGGTACAGTGCATTCGCCGACCGTTACACGGTACATTGCCATCTCAGATATACCATGGTAGTGTACAAATGCAGCCGCTATAACGAGTATGTGAAACAGTTGATGCGATTGGAACTGTTGAAAACGGCAATTAAAAAGTTGTTCTTAAGGCAAATCAAACGAAAAGTTTATTACAACACACTTACCCAAATATCAAATTTTCCTGGGAACCACCTTTCCGGCACGCGCAATGCGTACAGTAGTGCACCAAGTATGTAAAGAAGGCCTGAAGTATGTAACGAAATGTACGAAATCAAAATTGGTCTTAGATTTTTTTTTTAGTCAAATCCTTACCCATCAGTATAAGCCAACCCAAGCTAGCTTGACTGATTTTGCTGAACCAACCCTCCATCAGGCTGTAATGTATGGCAGGTATTATACCGGAAAGTCCAAAGCTCATGAATACGCCGGCACGAAGTGGACGCAAGCCCGGCTCTGAGAATTTGTCCCACAGCGAGACGATGATCGATAGCGAACCCAGAACGCATACCACTGATAAGTAGATCACTTTAGGCTGATAATGGCAATAGAATCCGTAATACAACCAGGGTACAAATGAACCCATAATGAGTAGTGCAATTCCACAATAGTCTAGCCTACGGAAAGGGAACAAATTTAATTAATATTTACATGAAGTCGCTTTATGTTGTCGTACACTTACTTTGAGAACAGTCTTCCAATCTCTACCGAATGACAGCTGAGCGTGTGAAAAGCGAATGAGAAACCCAAACAAATGATGGCACCGGCAAAGAAAGCGCCAAATATGATTTTCTCTTGTATTTGTATTTCAACTGAAGGACGTGATAAGAAGTATAGTGCCACACCAATAAAAGCCACACATCCTAGCAAATGTGTCCAAATATTTCCGGTTTCGGTGTGCACACGAAAAATGGACTTGAAGCAGGCACTGAACGACGGCAGTGGTGGACGATGACCGCGATGTAGAAAGTCATTATCTTGCAGCCATTTGGGCAAGTTCTTGTAATGGCACACCATCCAACTAGCCTCCCAAACCTGACAGCGTTAAGTAAAAGAAGATGTATAAGTACACATTTAACACGACAAAAACAACATAACTCACCTTTCGAACGAATTCCTCTGCCTGTTCGGCAGCGTTATGAGCTAATGCTCCCAAGTCAATTTCATCCGATAAAACGCCAGCCTTCAGCACTTCGGTCATCTACTTAAAAAATGTGTTTGAGTATTTTATACAAAAATTTCTTTCAAGGGTTTAATAAATAACGAATTTCTTTAACTTACTCACGAAAATTTAAGAAATAATAAATTATATTTTATTTCGCAAAAATTGCAAAATAGTATAAATGGATGAATATATTTCTTATCTGTTGAAAGTTTTTCTTTTTCATTTCTTGATAAGAAATTAAGGAAATCAACTAATAAACTGCTTGAGACGAAATGACTCAACGTATTTCAAATATATGTACAAATCTAATTTCTTGTCGAATGGTAAGCATTTCGTCTTGTTTACGCAATACTATTTTTATCATTATTAGACCCCAATTATTTTCAGTTTACTTTTTTGCGGTTATCGCAATATTACGTTAGGGTTCAAAAACGACTGATAAGATACATTTGTTACAGTATAAGCTCGAACACCAATAAATGCGCTAATTACACATGCGTTCGTTGTTGAATTCTTCAAAAAAATGCATACCAAAAAATTCCACTCACCTCAGCCTCAATGAGTTGTGTGTCCTCGGGGGTTGAGGGCAAAGGACAACCAGGATCGTCTTCTTCCACCAATTCATCGTCATACTCCAGTAAATCCAAATCATTAGTGCTAAGCGAATCCTCGGGTCCCCAACCGCGACGCTTACGCAAAATCATTTTTACCTCCTGGAACATAATATCTTCATCTTCATCGTCTAAGTCTATATCGCTACGCTCAATTGATTCAACGCAAGAATGTACAGGCGATTCAAAGTCGGAGACATTTTCTGTAAGAGCATTTGCCAATGGGATCTCGCCTTCATCTTTCGAGATTTCACGTGCCATAAGGGCTGTGGTGGATGTTTCTACTTCCATTTTATGCTTATTTATTATGGTTAATGCAAATTGGAGAGAGTTTCCAATGCGCTCTTAAATTCAGTTCTAATATAAATAAAACTGATTGAGAGCGCTTACAGGTTTTCGAAGCTGTGAAGAATCAGATAAAAATTATAAATAAAGAAATATATAAATTTTAATACTTGTTTTTAAATTTAGAGTGATTTTAAATTTGTGGCCTCTAATTTACTCCTTTTCAAATTTTTTTCCTAATTCACATTGAATAATTTACGTGATTTTAATTTACTTTTTACAATTATTTTATTCAATCATTCCTTGACAGTGTCAAATAAATCAATAATCTGAAAAAATTGATATTTTGTGTTTGTTACTGTCTTAATTGGGACACAATTTAAACGATGAAGATTTAGTACATCTTTAAGTACATGAAATTTAAGTAATAAATGATTGCTTAAAATATATAAAAACAATATCGCAATTAAAATACTTATGCATGTATGACAATCAAACAGAAGTCAAAGATTGAAAACTTTAATACATAATTCAACTTCCCCTTTAATCCAATATTCCCCATAATAAGTATAATGTCAATGCTCTGACGCAGATAGAAATATTTGGATATGTATACAACATTTTTAAAAGACATGCATGTATTTGCAAAATTTCGCCTCAAAAACTTATGAAATAATTTGTTCAACATATAAACATGCACATGCATTTAACTTATGAAAACATCAAAACTCAATTTTCATAATGGAATTTCTATTACAATACATACATACATATGTATATAATAAATGCACAGAGAAAGTAGATGCACGAAATAATATATATACCTACATTTATATGCATGTGAATATTTATATATAGGGATATACATATAAGAATAGTTATATGTAGATTATTTTATCAATTTGCTAGCCACCTGACGTGTTTCCTTAAAACATTGATTACTTCCACATTTTTTCCACTCTACTGGTTACAAGTAATACCCTCAATTTGAATATACATTGCAATGATTTTTCATCTCAAAATTCAAAATTAATTCAATACAATAACCTCTTTTTATTTTATTACAAGCAAAAGTAGGCCAAAATGTCTTAATTTTTCTTTTGTGTAACCCGTAAAGACATCTCAGGTCTATGAAATATCACAAATTTCTGTTGCAGCAGTAACCTTTATAAAGGTAATTGACAAATGCACAATTTACCTGTTTACAAATTTCAGCAAAATACTGAAAGTTTAACACAAAAGCTTCAAATTGAAGCGCAAAAAACTTGGAAAATACTCCTGAAGAAAACGCAATAAAGACCTTCTGTAATGCAAAATTAAATGAATACCAGTAACAAGAGTGAGCTGCCAGACTTAAGTAAAAATTACGACTTTATTTTGTTCTCGGTACGGCAGTTTTTTTTTTTTTAATTTTAGTAATTCCTTAAATATTAAATAAACTCAATGGTTTAAAAATATGAAAAACTTAAATTAACATTCAGCCATTTCAAAAGGAAAAGTTGTGTAATGACTACAATGTCGCTGTATGGCATCCCTGAGCAGGTTGAATTCTCTCTAAAACAGATTGTTAGCCCCGAGTAACACCAGCTGATCACAAAAACAGCTGATAAGCAGATATGTTATTAAAATTTGGAAAATGGTATTGAGCTCGAGCTCGATCACTGAATCGTTAAATGAAAGTCCCAAGATTTATTTCACAATTTGTTTATTGTAAGGAACTCAACTATCGTTTATTTATTACTCAATAACTAACGATTCGCTTTACTACACACGATGACTTAATATACTATTCTCACACTATTATTTTCCCTTTAACTACTAACTATACAACTCTCTATAAACACGCAATTTATTCCGTGTGCTATGCTTTATACCCCTGTTGTCGCTACCGAGTTCACTTTTTAAGTGACCGCTGATTAAGTACTGCGCAAACTTACACTACAGAAGTATTTTACTGTATATAAATTAATGATAAAGCCCCGTTATTTCTGTGCTGCCGTATCAGAATTCTAAGCTTTCAAAACATGACTAATAAAGGAATTTCAAAAATGTACATAATATATATCTTATTTACTATTACTAGTAAATATTGTGCATTTTTTCCATAAAACTATATTTAATATTAAAGAACAGAAAACATTACAAAAAAATGTTTTTTAATTTTTCTACTGAAAGTGGCAACGGCAAGGGAGCGGCAGCTAATCCGAATGACAAATGTTTTCGTTCTCGTGTGTAAAAGCAACTAAAAATTCTATAAAAGTTTGAAATCTATACTATTTTTTAAAGAAGAAATAATAAAATATATAGAAACGTGTAGTTTTCGCTAAATACCACGAAGTTACAATATCAGTAACTGTGGCACCTGTTTCCTTTTGTAGTATTATTTAAAAATTGTTGCACCTGCCACGCCGGTCTTGAACTTTCAACAACTACTCACTTACCTTTTTTTTATAATCTTCTGAAATGGCTAACATGTTGGAAAATCAATTACTAACCGCTGCTCAAATGATTGAAAGGCAGTTGGATCAACAGCTGGATCAACTGGACAATTTGGATACCGATGACCTCAAGTCAATACGTGAACAACGTCTGAAGGAAATGAAAGAATTGAATCGTAAGAAACAGGAGTGGCTTCAAAATGTAACTGCATTTATATAAGTTGATTTAATTTTCTTAATTTTTTAGTAATATACCTTTCATATACAATCATTTTTATGTTCAGGGTCATGGGACGTACACAGAGTTGGCTGATGAAAAAGAATTTTTTGAAGTGTCGAAGAAATCACCAAATATTGTGTGCCATTTCTACCGAGACTCTGCAGAACGCTGCCGCATTGTCGATATGCATCTAAAAATACTCGCTGGTAAGCACATTGAGGCGAAATTCTGCAAAGTGAATGCAGAGAAGTCACCTTTCCTAACGCAAAGACTGCGCATTAAAGTGATTCCTACAATTGCATTAGTTAAGGATAGTAAAACAAAAGATTACATAGTTGGGTTCACCGATTTGGGTAACTGCGATGATTTCTCAACAGAAATGTTGGAATGGAGAATAGCACAGTCTGGCGCAATCGATTATAAGGTGAATAGTAACAGTTATATTGAAATTTATTTACATAACAGTTGAGTATTTTATAGGGTGACCTAATGACCCCACCTGATGTAAAAAAGAAAGCCTATATAAACCGCGTAAACAAAACTATACGCAGTGGTTATGACTCAGACGATTCCGATATAGATTTCGACGATTAACAGCTCTTCTACAGAAATTGGCAGCTGCAGTAACTCACAGTGTGTCTTTACAACAGATCGAGTTTAATAAGCTTGCTTAGCAAATATGACTCTATCAAAACTAAATTAATATCAAAAAAATAATAATAGTGGTAGTGAGAAATAAGTAATCAAATCTAAAGCTTAAAAATCACACGCAACAAAATCTTATAAAATTAGTTTTCATTCATTGCGTGTATAAATTAATAGAAACAAGTTCAAGAAAAATCTTAAAACTCGGGCACAAACAAGGGTGTCTATATTTAGTATTTTCCCTAGGAGCTATCGAAAAAGACAACAAATCAGTACATGCGTAATTTTTCACTCACACATTTTTTCCCTAAGTCTTATTACAAATATTTACAATATTTATTTTTTTATACTATTACACGAAAAACTAACCGAAATGTGCATGGATAATTTAAGCGCGATAACAGACAAATTCAGTTTATTTTTAAGAATCCAATTGTGTTCTTAAGTTTGTATCATGGTAATAAAAAAGATCTTCGTAACATGCAAGTATACTTGTTTAAATTGATGATAGCCATTGATTTGCCTAAGATTAATATATTATTCATAGTATACATAGATTTAAAAATATTACTAAGTATACATGGTTTGGAACATGGCCAACCAAAATTAGTTTCTATGATAATCTTTTCTCCGATAATGATGTCCAGACCGCGACAGTTCCATAATCAATAAAAACAGCAAAATTTGTTAAATTCCAATTTCATCCCGATCCAGCGACAAATCTCCTGTTAAGATGATAATGATTAATTGTCACATTTTCTACACTCATGGTCATTGTATTTGATATAGAACTAGTTCTTCCGCTTTGTCTTCATTTGCAGAGTATGAACAAACGGACTAGATTTTTTTACATCTATTGTGGAGCAGAGAAGCTTTTAAGACTGTATTTGGAACCATCAAGAAACAACCGTCATTCATTTCGATTATATTGTGTATTCACAGTATTAAATAGACCATTCATGTTGTTACAAGAAAATTTTTGAAGAACGGTCCAAGTACCTGATTTCTGCTTCTGTATGCAGTATCTTCAAATTCAAATCACCAATGAAAGTCAGGTGCTGAGTTGAAGTTTACAGGATATTTGCACTTATCACGTTTTACTATTTAACAATCGTTATGACAGCATATTGCCGGTCGTATTAAATGTTCAGACCGAGCAGGTCATGTATTGTTACGAATTGTTCTAATCTCCTGGGGTTGAAAATATTTTTTGAATTTGTAAGCTTGTGTAATTAGTATTTTTTGTTCAATTTTTACTGCCAAGCTGCCATACTGAATTTTAAGATGCGATTTTACACCACGAGAAAATAATACTCACCACAACTTTTTAACTAATTTTAATAGCAACCCTGTTTGTAATTTTGCATTTTTGCATGAACTTTCATTGGAATTGGTTGAGTTGCTGATGTTGGTTGATTTTGGTTACGTTTGGAAAGATCAGATGGTGTGCGGGTGAAAGAGTACAGAATTGGTTCAAATTAATTGATTTACAAAACGTTAATTGTTTGCAAATTTGTTGATTAGTTGAAACTACTTTGTATGAGTGTCACATATGAAAAGTGAACATTTTTGAAATAATCAACCTAACTTCATAATCTGAATAGAGAATAATAAAATCAATACTATTTTGAAAATACTCTAATGTTGTACTCGTACAAAAATAAAAATAATTGAATAAAAATAATCACAGTGCCTGGATGTACTACAGTGTTTTTTGTTTCAAAGTGTAAAAATATTTTGCGAACTACTGTGAGAAGTAAACTCATAACAAAAAAGGTAAAAAAAATCAACAAAAAACAAACGACCTTTTCGCAATGACGCAAACTACGCCAGCTGGCTCCGGTGGGTCCAATGTCAACAATTTGATGACGACAAGTAGTACGCCAATACGCATAGGTAGCGGCTTGAGCAGTTATCATGGCAGCAGTTCAGCTTCTGTTGCCACACCTCATCAAGCAATAACCGGAAATGAATCATCTTCACCGGGTGGCGGAGGCAGTGCTGGAGCTGGCACAACAGCAGCGCCACAATCTAGTAGCGTACCAAGTGGGGCTGCTGATAATCTGCGTCAGCAGCTACAAAGTCAAATTTCATTGTCAATGGGCGCCTCAAATCAATCTTTGGGCGTAAGTGCGGGTGCTGTAGGCGGTACAAGTATTACGCCTCCCAACAGTGCAGGACTAAGACAAACTGGAGGTAATTTTTATAAATATTATTTTTTTTTTTTTTGACGTCCATTGTGCGTGTAATAGATTCCTTTGGGGCTTTTTCACTAAATTTTGTTGCAAAATCGTATGTGTTGCATTTCACTTTGCGTATATACGAATATACAAACATATGTTCATACATACTTATACATACATAAAGATGTGCATATTGAGTACAAGAACACAAAAATAAATGTAGAAATACGCTCAACCCCCACAATTGAGAAAAGGCAATTGATCAATAATAATGTACATCAGTATGTACATGCATATGCATATCTAAGTACTGTATGTTTACTACTGTTTTTTGTTTTTTCCTTATTGCCCTGCATACATATACACACATAGAGCTATTTCTCGCATTACTTACAATTTCTAAAGCTTCTGTTGTTTCAAGTCAATTAACTTGTATACCAAGAACGCGTATCTTATCCGAATTGCATACGTATCCATATGTGTACGTAGGAAAGTATATATGCTTATGTGGCGAAATACTTTACAACCATTGTTTTAATTTATTGCAGAGTAACATTTCCGTTTATTTATTCTTTGGTAATAATTAAATGGGTTCAAAAAAAAAAAAATAATAATAAATAATAAAAATTTCCAAAGTGCCGTCGAACCATGTTTGTAGGTTTCGAAGATATCAATTCAGCTGTTTCCACATTGCTTATTTTAGTTCAAATATATTATGATTAAATATACCTATAAATAGTCATGCTTTTTATTATATAAACATCAATATGAGAGTTTCCGTTCTTATTGCGAACAAATTGTTTTTCGTTTCAAAAGATATTTTTTTATAGAGCCGCACTTTCGAACCCAATTATTTATAGAGTTTTATCATAAAGATAGCTTTAAAGTAAAAAAGAGAAGCAATTTACAATCATCTTTAAGTGTGCTATTATAGTATTCTCAAATATTTTCACTCTGTCATAAAGTTTTTAAAGCCAATTTATGCTTTCGTTTTTATCTTTAGACACAATAATATATTTGATAAAGAACTTCTATTGACGAACGAAGAAGCTACAAAAAAAGTTAATTATTATATATAGTTATATACTATATACATACATATGTATATGTATACTCAAGACAGGAGCTTGGACTGCGGATTGGTTCGGATCGTGGCTACCCTATGACAAATTGACTGACTGTATCTCTGTATGTTGAGTTCAGTTTAAGTTTTAAATTTCTAAGAATCGAATTTTCTCATAAAAAGTGAACTAATCAAATATCCGAAACATATGTATGAATTTAGGTATACATTTGTACTTAGATATGTACATATGTGTGTACGCACTTATCTACGGTTACATTTAAATATTTATACAAAGCTTTTGTTTATTCGCTACACATGTCTTTTCCCCAATTGGCATTTTTCCCACAGCTTTAGGTCATGGTCATGGCCAATAAAGAAGTAAAGTAAAAATTATTTTCTCTTCACTTAAAAATTTTAAAATTCATTGCTTGCTAAACACGTGCGTGATTTCCCTAAAGGTAATGTGTGCGGACAAGTTTGGTGTAGGTACATGTAGGCAAATTGTCTTTCCCACTTTGTGGAATTAAACAAAATTTTTTTTGTACTGCATTTTGTGGATTTTAAATGGAATACATTTAAAACTGTACTGTAATTTATGATTGTATTATTAAGTAAAGAACAAAGAAATTATATAAAATTTCAAGAACTGCAAATAAATTATAATATGCAAATTCATAGTCGATTAGGAGTGAGTTTACTTGATTACTGTTGGGTATCTATTGCAATGCAGAGCTACCGCTGAGAAATGTCAAAAGTGCGCTTTCTCGGTACAAATCATACGGGCTTTTTACCTCACCGGATGTGTTTCAGTAAACTTCAGCAACTATTGTTACTGCTCATCAGGTTAACGAACACAGCGATTGGACTTTAGATACATACATACATATGTATGCCGGTATGTTTATAAATATTGACCATTTATTTAATTGTGTTGCAATGAAAAAACTTTAATGGTACAAATTATTGGCTCTAAGAGTACCTGAATTTACTACCTATTTATATTTGCTTATATGTTAAATAAATATTAATATTTACATATAAGTAGGTACCTACACAAAGACGCAGAAAAAACACCTTTGTATCCACTTGAATTTTTTTATCTCTCATATATTATATAAGAAATGGTATATTAATTTCGGCCCGAAGCATGTATATACTAATAAAGGGTGATATTTTAAGACCTATAGGAAAGTTTTTCAAAAAAAAAAAAAATGAAATTAAAAAAAATTGCATGAAATCTTTATTTGAGTCGATAGTACGGTCCATATGCCCATAAACCGCACCAAACTGTGACTTTTTCTGGATGCCTTGGTAGCTCTTGCAATGCTTTTGGCTGACTTTCACTCCAAAATCGACAATACTGCTTATTTATGCACCCATTAAGCCGAAACCGAGCTTCAAAGCGCGCGGGGAAGAAGCCCGCGATGAGCTTTCTTAACAGAGCACGCGTTTTGATAATAAATTTAAATAATTTGCATGCGTTATTCGTTTGTAAGATGATTTATGGTAAAATTATAGACCAAACTGAAGATGTTTGGCAGTGATCCAAACACAAAACGTGCGTCAGCTGTTGAAACCAGTGTTGCCAAAAAGATAATAGCTAAAAAAATCACCCTTTACTTGCATATGTACACACTTCGAAAGTCTCAGAATAACGATTTCATTTGATTTAGCCATTGAAAAGTGGACTAACAACATGTTGCCGGCACGTCAGATCGGTTATGTTGTCTTGACCACATCTGGCGGCATCAGAGATCACGAAGATACCAGACGGAAACATTTGTTAGGTAGGTCAGATGGGCAAAGCATACATAACCGATTTTTCGGAAATGAGATTTCGAATTATCGATTTGTCAAAAAATCATCTAAGAGCGTGAAATGTGAAATGGTAATCCAGCACACATATTCATGCTGAATTACACATTGCTGCAGAAAATGATCGAAATCGGTCGATTATAATATATAGGCCCCATACAACCGATTTGTTCAAATATGAGGCTTTGGTCGAAACTCCGTTAAAAAGCATCTAAGAGTATGAAATTTAGTATCATACCTTCGAATCAGCAAATAAAAATGTTTACTGAAAATCATTGAAATCGGAGGACTATCTCATAAAGCCCCCATACAATTGATTTGTTCAGCTATGACTTTTTTTTGGTTAATAAAAAGAGCATCTCAAAGAGTAAAACGTAACAAAAACTCTGTCACGAAGCTTCCTTGAACCAATTTATCACATATCGGAATTAATATTTAATTCTAAAATGAAATACCATAAATTTGACATGTCATGAAAGGTATAAAGACGTTGACATGGCCGAAGACAGCTCTTCTTACTTGTTTTGTTTATTATTTATGTATTTGCTTATGACTTGGCAAATGACATTTGGTTGACATTTATGCCAGAAATAGTCAAAAGGCATATTATGTATGCTAACTTTGAAAAAAATAGAAAATAAAAAAAAATTCTATAAAAATATAGTGCATTTACCTACGTTCCATGTGAAAATGGTGTATCTGTTGATTTTGCACTTTTATTATTATTATAATTTCTTCTTTCTTTATGCTTGATCTGTTGCCAATTAGTGTGATTACCAGGAGCTAAGTAAAATTAAAAAGAAAAAAGCGTTGACATCGGCGCTAATTACAATCACTTCAATGCTTTCAGTTACGTTTTGAATTTTCTTTCTTTTTTAGCGGGGCTTCAAGGTAAGCTGCACGCAAAATTAGCTCCACCACTCACCTTGACCTTTTTTTGTTTTTGTTTTTTGTTTTTTTTTTATACGCCAACAGCATTGCGTTCTACCCTTTTCATTCTGAATTTCAGCCACACCACTTTCACCGAGACACACTTAAGCACTTGGCGTGGCTTAATTTTCCGCAACAAATATCGATTTGTTTTTATTTATTTGGTTTTCGTTTTTTGCAAATTACTTTATTTTTATTTACATGTACAACATGTATGTGTGTATGTGCAAAACTCGGGATAATTGCCATGATTGAAGAAATTAAAAGAAAATTATAATTTATAATTATATTTTATAATAAAAATATTCACTTATTATTATTCACTCACTTAAAATTTATAACAAAAAATGCTATTAATTGGCCGTAAAACCAATTATGCATAATTATTATTAGTTAATTATAATTATTATTAATTAATTAAAGTTATTATTATTAATTATATTTCTTATTATGAATTATATTATATATATTATATGTACAGACATCGGCGCCTTATTAAATAGTATAAATGCATTAGTTAAAAAATAAAAAATTTATCATCTACATATGTACATATATACTAATGTATCTATACATATTTCTACTTTAAACGATTTTATTTGCACTTAAATTTACTATAAAATGGATGTAGAGAGCGAAATTGCCGTTGTCAATGACATCATCACGTAATGTACGAGAATATAAATATTTGTATGTATATACAGTGTCGGACAAAAATATTGGACTAGCGCGTACGACTGATAGCATCATCTCCTGCACCCGAAAAAATCAATTTAAATAGACATAAGTAAAGAAAAGCCGGCGTCAAAGGTAGTTAAAGCTCTTAAAACCAGAAACCACAACTTAAGAACCCGAAAAAAGTGTTTCTTTAGAAATTTGAAAGGGAAGGAAATTATTGCGGTAAACGAAATTTTCAGACTGTAATGTACTTTATTTAAGCTCCAGAAAAGAAATTTTAATATAACGAAATATTGGAATTTTCTAAATTTTGTGACGAGTTTTTTGAAGCGCCTGCAGTCTGAACTCGTGAAACGGCGCAGCTGATGGAGGTCGTGCGATGCATCTGAAACAGTGGAGCCACCTTTTTTTTTAATTTAAGAGTAGCTCTTCTATATGAACTAAAAAATACCGATGAAGTTGGAAAATTCCAAATTTTTTCGAAGTTTGAAAAAAATGTACTTTTTTGAATTAAAAAAAAAATT